TGTGGCCTTACCAAGGCATTATAAAGTGGTATTAACACTTCACGTGATCTTGATTCTATCCCTCTGTTTATGCAGCCTAGAACTGTATTGGCTTTCTAGGCTGCATAAACAGAGGGATAGTTGTGCTGGAACATACATACAAACACACAGAGATATTTTTATATAGATAGGTAAGATATACAGCCATGTGAAATCACAACTGCCAGTTCTTTAACTGATGTTGGCCTTCCTATGCATTGAGTTCTTCCCAAGAACCTAGAATATCATAATGTACCAGTGTAGTATATTTGGGGATCCTAGCAGTGTAGCCTTGTGCAATTGACAGAGGGAAATTTTCTCAATGTGCAGATTTTGCACACCCAAGAGTTTTTGGTATAGCTCTCAGCGTGCTGATAACCTCCGGGGGCCACCACCGCCGGTGTGTATTATGGTTGTGATGTTATGTATATGCTACCTGTCTCTGGGCAACTCTTGACATTTCCTAAAATTTCTAACTTCAGTTAAAATCTGGATACGAGAGAGAATGGGGGAAGCGGAGAAGCAGCCCCCGAGCCTGTTCCCCCTCTTACAAATGTTGGCTTGGAAGATTATATCACAGTGGCTTTCAAAACACGTAGGCTTGTCATGGCACCAAGCCTGCAAGGCTCCTACTGCCTTTCATCCACCAACTGCAGGTGGAAATTAAGAGACTTAATAATAAAAAAAGGATCCCTTCTCCTCTTGGAAAGCTCTAGCCAGACCTGCCCTGCTTGGGTAGCAAAGCTTAAGAAGGCAGGCCAGAGGAAATGTCTCTTTAATAAAGAAGCCAGCAGGAGATGGATGGGGGCGTGCGAGCAGGGGTGGGTGCTCTCTTGGAGGATGAATCTTCCTGCCGAAACGAAGCGCAGGCAGCAAGGAGCTTTGGGCTAATTAAAGTGAGAAACTCTATCCCAGAACCTCCTGAATTATTGATCTGCCAGAGGCTCCCTATAGGCCATTGCCTGTGCATTTATCTCAACAGGGCACAAGACGCAGCTTTGGTGGGGCACTCGTGCCAACCTCTCTGGCATGTCCTAACTGCGTCACTTCTTCCTCTGCATTTCCTGTTGGAAGCCTTCCTTCACGCCTAGGCATTTCACCATTGCCATCATTTTTTGCTGCCTCTCCATGTAGGATGGACCTCTTTCTGGAAAAGGCTGTTTTCTTTTAACCGTGTGTTTGGGGTTGCATCCGAGTTGACTCATGTTGGGTGGGTGGCCAGAGTGGGAGGGGGGCCTGAAGCTTGCAAGGGAAACATCCATAAGAGCGTTTGCTCTTAAAACCAAGCGTGGATTTGGCCAGGAAATTCCACCCTCGGCCCCTTTGGCATCATTTAATCTTGTTTTGATGCCACTTCCCAAACAGGACAAACCTTCTGTATTTAAAACATTTATTCCTTTATTAGGAGCGCCAGCATCCCCAGCAAAAAAGTTTCTCTCAATGCAGGTTAACAAGTCGGATGGAGGATGAATGTCAGCGTTCCAAATATCATTCAGAATTAAATCAGAGTCCAAGGCAGAGCTATCCTTAAAAGTTCCAATTTAATAAGACAGACATGTTGGCACAANAAGGGAGACTAGTATAGATCTATTTCAAGCTATTTAGCTCTCATCAGCTAGCCATATCCTTACTGGGATTCGAACCTGGGCTGTATTACATATTAAGCAGTTGTGTTAACCACATATATATAAATTCTCCTTCACTATTTCATTGATCCTTGTTTCTTTTCTCCATCCACCTATACATTTATCCCATATCTGGTAATATTCTGTTTCTTCTTAAGAATGGTTTTCAATGCTTTGGGTCTATGAAGATTCTCAATCATCCAGGTTGTCCCAAAGGTGCTTTTCGAAAGGCAATTTGGGGTTTCTTGGTTTTATGTGCTTTGTGGACGAAAATGAGGTTATTTTCCTTTTGGGTGCTTAGAAAACTGCAAGGGTAAATCAATGAAGTTGCAGGGAGCACAAAGGAGAGTTTTACTTTCCTAGGTTTCACTCTGTCCTAAGTTGAGTCTCAAGGGCTCATTGGCTAAGATGCTGAGCTTGTCGATCAGAAAGGTCGGCAGTTTGGTGGTTCGAATCCCCAGTGCCGCATAACAGAGTGAGCTCCCGTTACTTGTCTCAGCTTCTGCCAACCTACCAGTTCGGAAGCACATAAAAAATGCAAGTAGAAAAATAGGAACCACCTTTGGTGGGAAGCTAACAGTGTTCTGGGTGCCTTTGGCGTTCAGTCATGCCGGCCACATGACCACAGAGACGTCTTCAGACAGTGTTGGCTTTGAAAAGGAGATGTGCACCACCCCCTAGAGTCAGGAACGACTAACACGCATATGTGGGGGAACCTTTAGCTTTACCTTTAAGTTGAGTCTGAGAGTATTACTGTTTTAAGTTGCTCTGTGTAGTAGTTCCTAGATTAATCCTGTAGAACAGGTTAGTCTTTCCATCTTCCTGTTGTCTGAGTCTGAATGGTTTATGATAGTGATGAACATTGAATCTTAGAAGGAGAAGAAATATTTTACATCATCCCCAACATGGCTTTTCTCTTAAGTCACAACAAATTAAAAAAAAATGACAGCCACAAGTTCCAGACTTTCCATGGATCCAGAGCAGAAGCCCTTTAGTGCTTCTGTGTTTTGCAGGAACAAACCTAACTAGAAAATTTCTTTTTATTTTGTGAAAAAGGGACAGCATACCAACAACAGGAGTTAGTTCTTCACTTTGCTGGTGACAACTGCTTCAGTGCCATTTTGGGGACAGAAGTAGCTGATAGAATTGCTTTCGCTTAAGACAGGGGTCAGCAACCTGCGGCTCTGGAGCCGCATGTGGCTCTTTCATCTCTGCTGGGCTCTCTGTCACCTGAAAGAGCTTTCGGTTAGGACAGATAGAAGAAAAAGGACACCATGCTAGGAGGAGACTCTATGGTGGGAGAACCGGACTTCCAGTTGGCAGAGGAAAAAGGAGACCGCACTAGGAGGAAACTCTATGGTGGGACTTCAGGTCAGCTCCAGAATTGAACAGGGGAGGAGGTCCGGTTAGGATCTTTGTGGCTCTTTGAGTGTTTAAAGTTGCCAAGCCCTGGCTTAAGACAAAATAATTCTAAGGCTCACTTTAAGTCAAGAATGAGGTAGCAAACATGTCTTTCATGTGGGGGGAACGTCTATTGGTCTTTCTCCAACTCACGTGGTTGCTGCTCACCAGGAGGAATGGGGCAACTCACCACAGCCAACTCAATGGCCATCTCGTCATGGCAAACTAGCTGCAGCCATCTTGGCCTGGTCAACCCGGTGCAGCCCTCTTGGCGCAGTCATCTTGCCATAGTCAACTTGGCACAGGGCAAATCCACATGTGATAATTATTATCCACCACTGTTTCTTTGACATGATTTTCATTGACAAAAGTGGAAGGAATGTAGAAGAAACAGTGGCCGATCACGTTTATTGCACTGAGTTATCCCATGTGGATTATCCTGCAGGAAGTTGGCTGTGGCCATTTGTCTGGTGGCGAGTTGGCAGTAGCAAGTTGTCCTCGACCCCCATACCCGGTGCTTCCCAAGCGGAAGATGGAGACTTCATCCCTTCCCATCACCCTTCCTTTGCAACTGGCATCTGGAGGCATTCTGTGGATGAAGGGTGATGGCCCTGCAAACCACAATTAAAACATGCCATAGCTTATTGTCATGAGCAAACCCAGCCCGCTTGATTCTGTATTGCCCTATATGGAAGAAGAAGAAGTAAAAGCTGCTGCTTGTTATTGTGCTCTGTTTCAACACTTCCTTCATTTGTAGGTACGGGGAGCTGCGTGAAGAATGGGGAAGCGTTGAAGGAGAAATGTTCATTTTTCAATACTACTGTCAGCTGTGAAGGTAATCCTTGGGCGAGGATTTGTTAGAAGGCCTTGCAAAACCTACTGTCTGTATTCTAAGTTTACTGATTTTTTAAAGAGATCAGACAACAAGCAATATCCAGAATACAAATTCATGGAAGTAAAGGCTATGGTTTGGATTGTTCTTTGTCCACGCTTGTTTTGTGTTCCTTCCCGAATCATTGTCAGTTGCCATGGAGAACAACAACTGGACCAAGGTGTTGGATAATAGGCTGGTGCTCAGCTCTCATATGATTAATTTCAGGTTTACCATACTATAAAGCAAATGCATATAGAAAGTCTGAACCTATAACCCTTTTGTCTACTGCAACCTTAGAAATCAGATGCAAACTTCTCTACAGTGATTCTAGCGTAAACATTGTAGTAACTAGGACTGTCCTAGCAGAGAAATTCTGAGTTGGGGTCCATCCCAGAGCTGCATGTCCCACCACCCCAGAAAAAAAATGTTTAGATACACCCAGGGCTTCTCCAAAAAATGTCACTCATTTTCTGTTTTTTTTATGTGATTTAAATATTGTAAGGGACACAATGTGATTTAAACCCAATTTATTATGTTTTCTGGCACAGCTGATTCCCGGCCTCTTACTGTTCTTCTTCTGGCTCACCGCAAAAAGGGCAGTATCAGTATCTGAGGCCAGTTAGGTCCATCCCATCTCAAAGCATCCCCCAAGATTAGATGATTGGTTTAAGATCCTTCTCTGGCTTCTCTTTTACAGATAGTCTCTGACTTATGCCTTGTCATTTAGCGAGCCTTCAAAGATATGAACAACTTGAAAGAGGGGACTTCCCTGACTTCAAAGATTGATGGAGCCCTCTGTGGTCAATTGACCAAACATTGGACACTTAACAACATGGCCAATTTATGGATGTTTGCCATGGTCCCATGACGGTGTATTATGATACGGTAGTTTCAGCAAAACCCGGCGTTTAATTCTGATTTTCAGCAAAACTGCACCCATTGTGAAACACTGGCTTGCTTAACAAGCACAAATTCACTCCACAATCATAGTGATTGTCCATAGGGATGAACTTGCCAGCTGTAGATGTTAGGACTGGCCGGCTGAGTCACCACATTCCTAAGTCATCCCATCCCCCACCTTTGAGTGGCAACCAAGAAACGAAGCAGAAGCAAGCATGGCTTCGGTTGAAGTCATTTTGCAGGTTGACACTTTGGAGACAGTGTGAAAAAAAAGCATCGCTGTCTACTTTCTCTAGGATAGACATGGCCTCCTAGACTAGGGGTGGTGTAGGGTTAGGGTTTGAATGGGTTTGGGTGATCCTATAGCTAAGGTTCTGCCCAGTTCAGTGACCCTGGCTGGCCACGCCCACCATGCTCTGCCCCTCTCGGCCCACCATGCCCATCCCAGGAGTCTCCAGAGCCCCGGGAAAGCAGTTTTTCCCTTTCCGGAGGCTCAAGGAAAGCCTCTGGAATCTTGGGAGGGCAAAAAATGCCCCCCCACCATGGTGCAGGAGGATGGCTAGGCCACACCCACCATGGCCACGCCCACCAAGCAAGGGGGCAGTGAACCCATTGCTGCAATTTTTGAAACCCACCCCTGTCCTAGACCTCAGTTGTGTTCTCCTCTTCTCCAAGCTAAATACTCCCAAACTTTCTTATAAGAAGGCTGTTTGAGCTCTCTAGGCATCTGTTCTCTTCTCTACTCTTTCCATCTCTATCATACAATTGACAAGGGTACAAATCTACATACCGGAACCGAAGAACTGAAGAAGCTTCTTGGATGAGAAGGGAAATGTTTTCAAGGAAAGTCCAGTTGCCTTTTGAAAAAGCAATCTTGGAATACCATGACTATATTTTCATTGGGCAATTTTAACAGTTTTTGTTTTAATCTCAAGGACTCTCTCTAATCCTTCCCCCACCCCCTTGCTATACAGTGGAGGCTTTTTAAAAAAAATAATAATCCTTTTTTACAGAACGAAAGTTAACTACCACCACAGAGCATCCCCACCCAACCACTAAGGCGCCTCCAAAACCATCTTCTAAGGAGCCGAAGATTCCCACGCTCGGTAAGTCCCCTGTGTAAGTTTGTTTACACTGGAAGAGGAAAGGCTGGGTTGCAACTATTCACATGGAAAATGTCAAGTGACGTCAAAGCTCTTCCAAATGCTCCTAATCAGGATATTTCTGGCAAGTGCTTACATTAAGGGCTGCCACGAAGAAGATGGGGTCACCCTATTCTCCAAAGCACCCGAGGGCAGGACAAGAAGCAGTGGGATTCTGGGAGTTGCAATCCACAGTCCTTAAAGTTGGTGGCTGAGGAATTCTGGGAGTTGAAGTCCANAAAAATAGGAACCACCTTTGGTGGGAAGGGAACAGTGCTCCGTGCGCCTTCGGCATTTAGTCATGCCGGCCACATGACCACAGGGACCTCTTCAGGCTGTGCTAGTCCTTCAGCTTTGAAAAGGAGATGAGCACCGCCCCCTAGAGTCAGGAATGACTAGCACATATGTGCGAGGGGAACCTTTACCTTTAACGATGATAAGAGGGAAGAGAGAAAAACCGCAGAAGCTGCCTGCAAGCTCTCAGAGCTGCTGTGTTTCAAGGGAAAAAACCTCCTTTGAGTCCTGTGACTCCACATTCCCTGCAACGGAGGTGGCAATCCATCAGCTCAGCTCCTGGGCACGTAATGAGAACAACAGGTGCGGCTTTCATTTGAAACAACAAAGCAGTCCCAGGTGCAAAGGCCCTGAGAGATACAGGAGGTGCGTAGCTGATACATACGCAGGCACCTTAGTCCTGAGACTCCAGCACTGAATCTGTGCAGAGAAGCTCTGGCCCAACCAGAGGATGTTGCTGCATCCCCGTGAAACCCCTGTCAGCCATCCTGTTTATTGGCATTCGTCTTCACTCTGGGGCAAAATATGCCTGGGAGAAAAAGAGAAGATCTGTTTTGAAATCAGTCTCTGTTCTCCAAGGAAATGAAGGGAGAGGGGAGGAGGAGAGGGTGGCAAGAGGGGAGGGGAGAGGAAGGGAGGGGGAGGAGAGGAGAGATGAAAGAAGAGGAGTTGCAAGAGGGGAAGGGAAGTGAGAGGAAGAGGGGAGGAGAAAGGAAAGGGGAGGGGGGAGAGAGGGAAGGTGGGAGGGGAGGAGAGGGGAAAGAAGAGGGCTGGCAAAAGGGGAAGGGAGGAGAGAGAAAGAGAGGGGAGAGGCAAGAGGAGGGGAGGTGGGAAGAGAGGAGAGGGGAAGGGGGTTACAAGAGGGGAAGGAAGGAGAGGGAAAGGGAGGAGAGGAGAAAGAAAAAAGGAGGGGAGGGTTGTAAGAGGGGAGAGGAAGGGAAGGGAAGAGAGGAGAAAGGAAGGGAGAGGGGTTGCAAGAGGAGGGGAGGGGAGAGGAAAGGGGGATAGTGAGAGGGCAGGGGTAGGGAGGGGGAGGAGAGAAGAGAGGAAAGAAGAGGAGTAGGGAGGAGAGGGGAGGAGAGGAAACAAGAAAGGGGAGGGATTACAAGAGGGAAGGAGAGGCAAGAGGAGGGGAAGGATCATGAGAGGAGAGGGGAAGAGAGGGGAGGGCAGGAGAAGAGAGGGGAGGGAGAGGAGAGAGAGTAAACTTTGCTTGGACCAATAGAAGAGAATATTTGTGGCTCAAGGATGAATTGTGGGATCTTTGGCACTCTCTAGGTTCCTTGCTTTCCTGCAGACATTTCATTACCCAACTAGGTAACAACATCAGTGCATTTTGGGTGGGGTGGGGTACAAGGGTGTATGCAGCTTGTAATGTAAGGTATATGTTGATGTGTCTCGGATCTCACCTAAACTGAGATCTAGCACCTTCTGAGTATCCACCGTTTCCATCAATGCTAATATAAACTTTGGTAGGAAGGAGGATTTTCTCCCTTGATTTGAAACTGGATGCCATCCAACACTTCCATGTCCATATTCTTTCAAAGTACAGATGTGGAATCGGATTTGCTAGACGATATGAACTCCGGTACTCAAGAGCCACGCTGCTGTAGTGGCAAAGAATATGTAGTGGCTATCTATCTATCTATCTATCTATCTGCGCATGTGCGAGACCGGAAGATGGCGCCCAGGCGTTCTGCTCCGTTTTGACGAGGCGAGCAAACGCTGAAAAAAGCCGAAAATTGAACAACTCCAAGCCTCGAGGAGGGTCC